GGGTGGGGGGGGTCCAGGAAGGGGGCGCTGTGCTACTCACAGTGAGAGAAGGAAGGAGTTGAGGCAGGTAAAGACCAGCAGGGGCAGCATGGCGCACAATGTCATCACGCTATTAAATTTAGCCTCCAGCACGCTGCGATGTTCAGCTCCCGCCGCCGTCCAATTGGTCGGTTCTTCCAGGTGCGTTGCATTTTTCAGGCGACTGGTGAAATACTGAAGTGACAGAAGAGGGAGGAGTCCGTCAATCAAAGTCAAATCAAAACTCATAGCCTGGAGTAAACTGTCTGACAGGAAGTGATGTCATACCATGGTTGCAGTCATGAAGAAGTTCCACGGTAGCAGCGTCCCCAAACCGAGCATGAAGAAAATCAGCCAGACTCCAAAATACCTTGGAAGAATAGACGTTAGCTACGAGTCTCCAGACCAGCTGCTGATCGACCGACTACGACTCGGCTGATCGGTCATGTTTGACAGATGACAAATGAAGGGAGGAATAAAAACTCACTTGTCTTTCGGGGAACTGACGGCCATGTTCGATTCAACTGTAGCTGTTACCAAGATTCAGTTTGTAACTTAAATAAAGAAGAAATCAAATAGAATCAGTTTTTTATTAGTCATCCAGGTCGTTTGATCCTAACTGTGCTGCTGGAAGGTGTCCAGGCACCACTAGTGGCCACGTGCCATAGTTTGAGAACGTAAATACACTGACACAGTCAAGTAAACACACACTCCCAAACTGCTGATGTTGATTTAGATCATTCCCAGTCAGGGTTACAAAAAAACAACACGCTGATTTTTCAGATTTCCAAAAAAGCAAAAACAAAAACATTTTCTGTTTTTGTTTTTTATGCTAACTGTTAGCTACAAGCGGAAAACTGAAGCCCAGTTTGCAACATTTAACTGTTGATTACATTTTTTTAAAAAGCACATTTTTAGCCAGTTCGTCTATAAACATATAAACATATAAACTTTTGCACAAAATCAAATGCTTCCATTAAAAGGTAAAAACACACAAATTAGCATTAGATGGAAGACAGAACCATTTATACAGAAAAGGCACAAAAATGTAGGTTATTAAATACCTGCCGTTTCCTGAATCCTTATCTCCTTAAACTACTCCTTGAAGGTTGTTGAATATTCTGTCAGCCAGTCGTCACTCACTCTTTATCCACGACTGATTGTGCAATTCTTCCTGTCACGTTCTCTCAAATCCTGGTTCCTCTCTGGCAGATTTTTTTCCCCTCTGAGTCGTCTTAACCGCGTCTGTCCCTTCAGCAGAGTCAGGTCTGCAGCGGTGACCTCTGACCCTGATATCAGTTTGTTGGACTTTGTGTCTACGTTAATGTGGACGCTGATAAGAGAGCAGTGAAACTCCACAGTTTGTCACAGGAAGAGACTCCGACAGTGATTTGTGAGTAAATAGATTTAAAGAAAGTTCTTCCTGGACAGAATCGTGTCTGTCTGTTTTCCTTAAAAGACTTTTGATCTGTGAGTCACACAGTCAGTCACACAGTCAGTCACACGGTGTGTAATCACAGACCAATCACTGTGGTTTTAAAGGAACTTTAACGTCGGGACAACCTTATGTTTATGTGACCTTTTGTCCTGTTGATATTTCAACTTTGAACAGGAAGTATTCAGTATGTGAACTGTACGTGTCATGTGGAGGCATTAGGACAGTGTGTTCAGTACACGGCTCGGTGTGTGTGTGTGTGTGTGTGTATGTACATGTTCCGATGCATTACAGAGTTCCCTAAATCAGCAATCAGCAATACAGTTCCCCTTAAAGGGCCGGTTGTAAAATGTAAAAACTACTCCATAATGTATTACGACATGTTTCTGCAATTGATTATATATTCAAATTACAAATATTGTAAATTTCTCTGTGTAATAATAATAAAAATAAGATCGAGTTAAGAAGCTCAGCAGCATGGACTTAATTATCAGGTAATTAAACACTTTTTAAGCTCCTGCGGGCCACACAAAATGACTTGGTGGGCCACATGTGGCCAGCGGGCCTTGAGTTTGACACATATTCCATCCCACAGGGTCAACGAATAAAGTAAATGCTCTTGGCTTACTTGGAAGATGACCATGTTGCTGGTTCGATTCCCAGTCTATGCTCACGTGTAAGTTTTCTCCATGTTGGATTACTGTAGGTTCGTTGGACACTCGAGGGAAACCGTCCATGATGCAACCACGCCCTCACCTGACGAGTGCTGGGATTGGCTCCAGCTTCACCCGCTTCACTGGAAATGACAAAGCAGTGGAAGATGAATGAATGAAACGGACACGGGAAAATAAATAAACGTCTCTGCTGCTCAGCTGTAAGGTTCAGGTACAATCAGAATCTAAATGATCATTTCATCACGAGTGATGTCACAACTCCAGCCGACCGGGACAAACTAACAAACAATGGTTTCCACACAACCGTTTGTTTATTACCAGATTATTGCACATTATGTTCTAATTGTGTACAAATCAAAACATTAGAGTTCACGTTCACACCGTCAACTGCAGGTAGTACTAGTACGGTCGTTTACTTCCTGTGTCAGTAGTTTGTAGGGCAGTAACAGACAGTGAGACTGGAGAAAAACAAAATGGATGAAGCAACATGAAACCAAAGCATCAGAGAAGTGACATATTTCCAGTGAGTTCATCGTAAACATCACAACATGAAGAGTCCATGATTCACCTCTCTGTATTTTCTTCACTCTTTTTGGCACCACTTCAACCAGATCCTGGAGCTCCAGTAAAATATGTCAAATTAAAAATCACACACATGGGTTTGTTTGGGGTGAGTCAAAAAGTTTTAAGACAGGTCTGTTACACCTTCAACAGAAGACACAGCTTTGACAGGTCTTATCATCAGATCTTTGTGAAGAAACACATTTGATCCGACTTTGTTTGATTTTTTTTTTTTTGCTTTTCCCAAACGAAACTTTGGTCTTGACTCAAGTCAAAGCAGGTGGTTGTGACTTGGTGCAAAGAATTCTACAAACAGGGAATTCTCAGGTGAAAACAACCTTGATGAAAGTTGAGACTTGGATGAAGAATATGTAGAGAAGCAGTTTGGTTATTTTCAGAGATATCACTTATTTGTCCTACAACATGACAAATGTGACCAATCCTCTAATATACTTTAATGGGAGAACTTACTATTATTAACGTTATAGTGGTCTGGTCTTGGTTTGTTGACTCAGTAGAACAAATAAAACACCAGCAGCACACATGAGCACCGTTCATACAAACCCTGAAGGTTTGATTCTAAAAACTCAAGGGACAGCGTAAAGAGGTCAAAGGTCAGACTCTCAGTTAACTGTTAACTTCACTCTCTCTCACTCACACACACACACAGTTTAGCTGCTATAAAAATGTAAATAAATAGGTGTAAATAAATATAAAGGTAGTTAAATCTTTATTTAGTTTATAAATATTATTATAAATATTCAACCTGCATCTAGTGTTAGCTCAGCTACAGAAGGTCAGAACCGTCATTTTAAACCACAGTCATGTCTGTCTCCTCAGCCTGCAGTCCCGGGGGAAACCACTGCAAGGCAGCAGAGAGACAACGCTGACTGCTAAGTTAGAATAGAAATAGTTTTTTAAGTTAAAACGATTACTGTCAGAAAATGTAGATCATGTGACCTTTCAGCTCCACTGGCCTTTTTTTTTTTCTTTTTACAAACGTCTTCATATTTTTCCTGTGACTGTGTCACGTAGAGTTGGTATTTCAGAGGGCGAGCGCCTGTTTCTCCATCCACGCTGGTGCAGGTCACACATTTGAAGCCGATCGTTTTCTCTCCTGGTTTTTTAAGTCTGGGCCTGTGGCAGTGAGCGTCCAGGCTCACGGGGAACCAGAGACCCGGTCACGACCAGACCGTTTGTGCTGCTGCACAGCAGGGTCTTGGTCGCACTGGCAGAAGCTGTTGGCGACAAAGTGCTGCCGCCGCTGATGGTGCCGTTGAGGTTGAGGTAGGGTCGTTGGCGTGGCAACGAAGCCCGTCTGCGTGCGGCAGGAAAGGCGGCCAAACCACGGAGGCAGGCCGAGGGGAAACTCAGACCCAGCAGGCAGCAGCTGGGACAGGACAGGATCTCGTCCTGCTCAGAGGGTCCACCACGGTCGGAGGACAGGACCTGGGCTCCCCTGTAGCCATTGGGCCGCACTGCCCCACCCCCCCTCTGCACCTGCTGTCCAATCACAAGCCCTGGACTGTTATTGTTGTCAACCAGCAGCGGTGGTGAAAAGGAGGGCGGTCCGTTAGTAATGGGAAGTTGCCAGCCGTTGGTCCGTAAAGATGAGGAGGTGGACAAGTGTCTTCTGGGGGTGGCGTCCAAAATCCCCTCTGTTGGCTCTGGAGACTTGGTGCAGTCCATGGGTTCTGTTAGACAAACATTCTCCTCTTCTTCCTCCTCCAGCCGCTCCAAAGACACCGACTCCTGCTCAACAGGAAAACCCGAGTCCCTCCGAACTTCCTCGTCCTTTAGCAGCTCCGTCCTCTCACTTATGTCCAAATTCTCCTCCAGGAACCTTTCCCTCACCTTCACCAACAACTCTGTTTCCTGTCTTTTGTCATCGTGCACCGCTCCCTCGTCCTCCTCATCACCCTGCTCCTTCACCTCGTTGTCTTTAGCAGAGGTGAAAGTCCGGCCGAGGTCCGGGGTGCAGGGAAGAGACTGACACCTCCTCTTGGGAGCTCGCATTCCCTGCATCCCTCTGCGCAGGTGTGGGGAGACACAGGGGTCGTGAGGTGCTGGGAGGGTGAAGGTCAGCGAGATGACGGACTTGCTGGGTGTGTCCAGGAGTTTGCACCGCCCTCCGTTCAGGTCCTGCCTCAGAGAGAAAGGGTTGACTCTGGCCGGTGTTCCCAGCAGAGGAGGAGTCAGCGCGTCTGGAGACAACATGTCCGACTGACTTCTGGCCAAGCCAAGTGGCTGCTGGTCGTTAGGATGACACGGAGAGCCGCGGCGCAGGTACGGGCTGACACTGACCGACGTCAGCTCTACATGTGGAGAAGAGTAAAAACGTGAAAATGAGTGGAGAGCGGAAGCAGTCAACGATGACTTTAAAGAGACCTGTGAGCGGTCTTTGTTGACGTGAACTCCTGTTTTCACCTCGTCCACTGCTCTTCTCCCCCTCGTCCTCCGTCTGCATGCTCTCCAGTGTGGCAGCAATCACAGCGAACGTGGGACGCCTCACCGCAGACATCTGGACAAAACAACAGAAAATTAGATCCATGTCTGACATCTGAATGTACAGGATTAACAATACAGAGTCTGTGTCTGCGTACTTACGTTACAGCAGGTGACGGCCAGGCTGAAGAAAGCTGGAGGACAGTCACCAACCAGGTTTTCAAACGCATCCACATCCAGACCAAAGTCCTACAAACACACACGCATGGACGCACACAGAAGAGAGCGAGGAAGAGAGCTTTTACTGATGTAGGCTAACGGTGATCATTTTCATGAAATAAACTAAAGCACGGAACACAACAACAACAACAACAACAACAACAATAACAACAACAACAACAATAACAGCAGTGAGAACAAACAGACTCTCACCTCTGTCCTGGGTAGGAAGTCAGGATCAGCCTCAATCCTGGCGATGATCTCACAGAGAATGATCCCGTAGGCAAACACATCCACCTGAGCAGAGGGCAGGAGAGGAGACGGGGGAGAGGGGAGGGGAGGAGAGGTGAGGAAATCTGGGTCAGTTCCTGGATCAGCCACTGTGAACTAACAACCACTTCAACTTTTGACTGATTAAAAAAAAAACATTTGATTGACAGCCTGACGTCGGACTGCAGCTGACAACATTTACCTTCTCGTCGTACAGCTCCCCTCTCAGAACCTCAGGAGCCATCCAATAGGGTGAACCCACGATAGCCAATGGCTGCTTCTGTACACCATCACTGCAACAGACCACAAAGTTTGACTGAGGTCAGGGTGTGGACCACCACAACACTGAGGCTGGAAATGAACAGTTCAGGTCCAAAACAAACCTGTCTGCATGTGTAGAAGTGAATTGTTGACGTCATGTACTAAAATCTGACACTTCAACATCATCTATTCTGATCTGGATTCTCTTCTTTGTTTATATTTACTGACATTTAACATTTAACCCAGTAAACACCTCAGGGCTGACCTGTAATCAGGGATCTTCTCTGCCAGGCCGAAGTCCCCGACCACTGCAGTGAACACACCGTTGTCACAGCGGACCAAGCAGTTCTGCAGAGGGAGAAGAGCCGGAGGTTAGAGGTGTTCTGGAGGAGGAAACATCTAAAGACTCTGGGCTGCTCTACCTTGGAGGTGAGGTCTCTGTGGAAGATGCCCTTGCTGTGCAGGTACTGCAGCCCTCGGGCGATGTCCCGAGACAGACCGATCCTGACGCCCCAGGACAGGAACAGGTCGCTGTCCAGCAGCTGCTCCAGGTTTCCTCCATTTATGTACTTTATAGAAGAAAACAGAACACATGAGTTCACTGCTGTACACTGAATATTTTTGGGAAAATCACATTTTTCGATACAAGCAACAATAAACATTACATATTTTGTATGGTTTGAGGTAAAGAATACATTTTAAAACCATCCTTCAGCCGTGTGGCCCCTGAGACTTACAAAAATATCTCATATTTCAGACAATCAAACGAGCAGAGATAAATATAAACCACATGGTTTTACCTCAGTCAGAGCGTGAAGTTGACCTTCATGGACACAAACCCCAAGAAACCTGGAAAAAAAAAAGAGTCTGTGACTGCACCGGGGAGAGACGGGGGGAGGGAGGGCAGAACCAGCACTGTTCAACTTTATATATGTTTTTGTGTCAGGTATAAATATATAACATTACCAACCTGAGGATGTTGGGATGAGAGAGTCTATTCATTAGCTGCACCTCTCGTAGCATGTTAGCTTTGTTGCTGGCCAGTGTGTTCATTTTCAGTGCCATCACCTGCCCTGTGATGTGGTGCTGCACCTGGATGAAAGGCAGGGACCATCACGGGGTCAACGAGGGGTCAATACGCAGGGTATTATGTTTTAATATATACACATATATTTGCCATAAAAAATCTGCTGGATGACAAGTCTGTGTGTGCATATATATATATATACACATATATATACACACACATATATATTGTTTTTTTAGCCATTTTAGCCATGAGTGACTTCAGTCAGTGAAGGGGCCGCAGATCTTTGACTCTGTCTGGAAACGAGGGTCACTGACACTCTGTTCGTCCGGCGTCTGGACCGGTGAGTGTGTGTGAGTGTGTGTGTGTGTATTAATAGCAGGGGTACTAATAGGCTTTCTGGATTTCCCAACACTGTGATGCAACAAATCCACTGGGCCATTATAGAGGCCTCAGTCGGTGGCTGACAGTCTGCACGCACATATATACAGTAAGCACATATAAAAGGTTTAAAGGTGTAAAGTGTGAGAATTGACCAAAGGAATATTAATAATTGAGTCTTATAAAATAATCACCTTGGTAGTTTTTTATTTCTTACATTAAGTGTTATGTGTGTGTTTGTGTTTGTGTTTCTGCATTGGAGTTTGGTCTGTAAATTTCTTTTATTCACTCTATGCCTAAAACCCAAAGAAATAAAATTGTGGTGGTTGGCAGGATTATCCTAGCTTAGCTCGGTGTTACTGTAAGATATAAAAGATCTTGTTTTAAAACTGTGTAGAGTTTAAAAATTCAGCATTATCTCGACATTTAGACAGTGTGTGTACGTGGACCACAGGCTGTGTTATTGTGCCCAGTGCATCACTAGTCTGGATTAAACTGATCCATAGTCACCACTTCTTACCTTAAAGACCTCCGAGAAGAAACCAGAACCAATCTTCTCACAGAAGAAGTCGTCTATGCGGGCCAGACTGGACACAGCGCTCCTCAGGGCTCGGTACGAGGATGGGCGTATCCGGTTGGGCAGGTGGACACTATGGAGCGGCGGTTCATCTGGACCACCATATATTTCATCGGCGTCACAGAAGCAGCACTCCGTGTGGTGGTCCATTGTGCTCTTTTGTTGAAGGCCACCAAAGTCTAGTCGCTCGGTTGCCTTAGAGGAAAAATGGTACCTTGGAACTTGGGTGGTCACTCATTGTACTTGAGGTAAAAAAGGCCGGACAATTAGTCATACTGTCTTCATGTGGATTCTCACTCTTTAGAAACCTGGAACGGTCAGACTAATTCCACATCTCCATGCTTCACTTTCGTATTGGCTCTGAGAAATTCCTTGAGAACAGGAGGCTTCTTCTCCTGTGGCATCCTGTTAGCTAGCAGGTAGCTGAGTGGTGCAGTTGCATTGTCCTGACAGTAGGTATCATGAAGCCAGTACCTGGGTGAGAAAATGGAGACGTTTGACAACAGAACTGATAACATACATCTGTGATCGTTCCCTGCCTTTTATTTGTTTGTATAAAGTTCTCCAAGATGTTATCTGTCAAAGAATATAATCAAGAAAAACATTAATGAGTGTTTTGAAGCCTACAGAAGGAAGTATTTATCAAGATGAAAATTCATTTTTTTAACTCACCAGTGAGACCGACCCTAATTTACAACTGGTAATTTTTTTTCTAATTAGATATAAAAAATATTTCCCATTTCACTATGAAAAGTTAAATAGTGATGATGTCCATCACTCACAGCAGCACCGCCCCTCATGTCTATGTAACGGGACTAGCTTAGTCAACATCACTCCTGTGTAAACACAACATACTAAAGCAACAGTAAAAAAACAAAAAACAAAAACCTATGCCCTGAAACTCGACCTGCGCCATTTCAAATTACACAAACCTATGCCCTAAAACTCGACCTGCGCCATTTCAAATTACCAACCCTCTCCAACCACATCTTTAAAAATAATCAGACTGAAGCGGAATAAGCCGCAGAAATCCCGGGTTCCTCTGGCTAACAGGCTACCGTCAACACCGGTAGCTGTCAATGACGGTCCACCTCTCTCCTCACCTCGGGTTAAAACCGGAACCGTGTTTTTCGCCGGACAAAAGATACCTGGTGGCGATATGAACCCCAACAGAGTCACTAATTATCGGGTGTGGGTCCGTACTACGGTATCCGTTTACTGGGCCGTTTACTACGACTCTGACACTAGCAGAGACACACGGGGGGAGGAGCAGGAGGACTTCCGGTCATTTTCAGAATAAAAGCATGAACGATATACTGTAAGCTTGCGTGTTGGTCTCTTGGATGAAAGTGCTAGATAACCTTTATGTCTAACATGTCATTTGTAGGCGGACTGTTACTAACCGGATCCCATTTCTAGAATTTTCTATCAGTAGTTAGTGGTAAACCCTGTGTTAAACTCAACAAACATCCGTATTAACCCAAGATTTTATGTATGTTCTAGAAATACACGTCCTCTGTTGTGTACTTGAAGGTCACCTTCTGTGGTTGTGTCACTTTTTTGTTGGTCATGCATGTAATGTTTTAGGTTTTAGTCTGTGTTCGTTGTTTTAATATTTATTGACGTTTTTGGACTTTATTGTTAAACCAAGATAGAGTAATTTCCTGTTCGTTTCGATTTACTCTAGCTTGACGCCGGCTCTGATTAGAGGCCATTAAATCCCAAATAACTGACCTGAAATCAGTTTCTGGGTCCAAATATAGATTTACAAAAACCAACAGCAGATTCACGACCAGCTATTTGACCGGAAGTGGTGACCCACAAAAAACAATGGCTGGTATGATACGCAATATTTGAATTAAATAATATAGTATAATATATTTTAATATAATAATATATTCAGCAATAGTACAATCTTCATGGGAAGTATGTCTAAAAATAAAAATATAAAAATTAATTTGTTTTCTTTTTGTCATGTGATATATTGTTCCCTCCTCTTCCTGACACGCTTTTCCTGTGCACGTTGGAAGTAGTGATGAGGGAAACGACACTGTTACTGTCGGTGATGACAATAAAGACGCTGCTGCATCGTCACTGCTGTACCAACACACACACACATATTGGATAGGAAAGACAAAAATGTCTGTTTATAAATGTTGTTTCCAAAATAAGGCACATGACCTGAAGAGGTCTGCTGGTTTAAGAAGTATTTTTTTCTTTGGAAAATTAGTCAATATGTCACTTTATCTCTGTCAATAAACATTGTATTGTCTGCACACCCCTTCTATAGTAGGTCTATTTTACTTAGAAGAAAGTGTTAATACAAAAAATCTTATCCTATTTAATGAGAAATTGGAGGTGACAGATTTGAGTAAAGTAAGCATGAAACACACCCTGACCTCTACTGTATTTGGTATAAATGTAATACTTTAAATTTATAAAGTTTAATTAATCCGTTTGGATATTAACATCAGCTTGGAAGCAATGAGAGGGTACCATTCACGTTTATCAAGTTTCTCTTTTTTTGGCGTATCGTTGCCCTCTGCTGGACGCAACAAGAAAACACATCGGATTTATATTCGCCTCAGAGACTCCAAAGAACTGAAGGGGTTTCTGGTGAAGCTGGAGGGATTCCGAGCAGAAACGCAAGAACAAGTACACTATGCAAATATCCATGTTTAATTTAAATAGCGTAATTGTTTGGTTTTCTGGTGAAGCTGGAGAGATTCCGAGCAGAAACGCAAGACCAAGTACATGCAAATATCCACGTTTAATTTAAATAGCGTAATTGTTTGGTAAAAAAAAGCTCTTAGCAATCAATTACGCTCATTAATTATAATGTGTTGTGAACACTAACATCCGTTTGGCTGTACACAATATACAGCTGATGTCAGCATTCGTCCTGATTGACCTTCCCACCCCTTCAGGTTAGACCTTCCTCCGCTTGAGGACTGAAAAGTGCAAAATAATGGCTAAACGGTAGTTAAGCCTGCTTATTTTCAAAATAAGAGCATTCCAGTCATTAGAATAAAATACAATTCGGGCTAAACATGTATTCGTGTTTAATTCTGTATCTATTTTTTTATATAAATATATTTAAAGATCGTTTTATTTTTTTGTTACCCTCTTTTGTACGATATAACTGAATTTAAAAATGTTATATTGATTACAAACATTCTAGCGAACAACTTTCACAGCCTTTTATTCTTTAAACCTTCAAAGGAAGTAACATCTTTGACGGTTGCTACACCGAGTTAGCTACGGTAGACTAACGGCCTGACCGCTGTGTCGCTGTAGTGGTAGTGTTCCATTTCTGTGTCGAGTTCGGCGTATTTTTAAACCGAATTTTACATAGACGCTGTTGTACCTTTTGGAACCAATAATGGCTCTGTTGACGCCACTCTTGGCCTTCCTCTACCATCTTCCGCAGGTGTACAAATGGCTGCTGAAGCCCTATTACATCGCATCTCTCTTCATGTCCCTCGCTTTCCTCGCTATTCGCAAGACGCCGGGAGTCTGCGACCATTTAGCTACACAGAGAGAGGACGGGAACTCCTGCGACTTCGACTGGGTCAGTAGACTGTTCTGCTTTATTCTGTGAGCCAGGGAACACATGACAGTATTGGATTTCCACTTAATTATGTGGTGATTTAATGGCATTTTTTTGCCGATAAGTGTTATCGTCATTTAAACAATGTTTTCTTATTTTATTCTTGAAGACGTTACATTAGGTGTTTTCCATGTAACTCCCCATACCATAGTCTATTAACAATTCTGATACTTAAAAAGTAGACATTCTTCCCATACTAGCCATATATATCGCCATAGCCTCGTACAAGGGCGGCGCCATCTTGTATGTAGTTTTAAGTCCAGAGTTTGCCCCGCCCACTTTCTCAAAGAAACAGGTGTACTAAACATCTGCACGGCTCGACATTTACCGGAAGTAGAAATACCCAAGATTATTTAACAAGATGCATCAAGGAGCAAAAACACCAGAATATTCTCACACGGAAAAAATCGTTAAAATCGATGGACTGGTAGAAAAACTTAACCTTTAGATCATTTTTTAACCGTTTTATTTGATTACTAATTGATTGTAAGAGTAATAATCATCAGTGTAATAGCATGTCACCATTTTGTTCACAGAGAGAAGTGGAGATCCTCATGTTTCTCAGTGCCATTGTCATGATGAAGAACCGTCGTGCCAGTGAGTACTTTTCTTTTGTGGTCCTCAAAGTAAGCAGGAAGTAAACAAACCATTTCCTTTATGTCCTCCCACTATTTGGACAACAACACACATTCCCCTGCATGCCACCAGGGTGAGCCCAAGTACCAATCGTGTTAAGCATACCATAGTTTGAGAACCAGTGATTCAGAGACTTACTCTTACTTATTGTCTGATCTGATCTTGTTTTTGTTGTCGCTCACAGTCTTTTCAGCGTGTTAGCATTTGTGATTGACGTGACCTAGTATCATAAACAGTTAGCATCAACGTGTCTCTGTGTCTGTCTCCCTGTCTCAGTAACTGTGGAACAGCATGTGGGAAACATCATCCTGTTCAGCAAAGTGGCAAATGTCATCCTGTTCTTCAGACTGGACGTCAGGATGGGAATCCTCTACCTGACGCTCTGTTTGGGTGAGGAAACGGAGGACACTGACCTGAGGCATTGGACTAAGAACTGCGATGAATTTCTAACTGTTATTCTGATTTCCCTCAGTGCTTCTGATGACCTGTAAACCACCTATTTACATGGGACCGGAGTACATCAAATACTTCAGTGACAAAACCATTGACGTGAGTAAACATTTTGATAAATATCTAAGGAATATGTGAACATGAGCAGAGATCTAACTCACGGCCACTCACAGGATGAGCTGGACAAAGACAATCGCGTGACCTGGATCGTGGAGTTCTTTGCTAACTGGTCTCCAGAGTGCCAGTCCTTCGCCTCAGTCTACGCCGACCTTTCTCTCAAGTGAGACGTCTTATCAATGACCTTGAGGAAATTCACACTCTGACGTCAACCAGTGAAGGTTTCCAAAGTGTTTAAACTGGTTATTCTGCTGCTTGATTTTCCAGGTATAACTGTGCTGGTCTCAAGTTTGGTAAAGTGGACATTGGACGATATGGAGAGGTTTCCAAAAAGTAAGACATGTCTCAGGGTTTTGGTCCTGTTCAGCAGAAAGGACAGAACCTTTAGCTCCTCATCTCTTTAACTTTGATTAAGTCTTCCATTCATTTGTTTTGTGCAGGTACAAAGTGTCTACATCACCGCTCTCTAAGCAGCTCCCCTCTCTGGTGTTGTTCCAAGGTGGGAAAGAGGTGATGCGACGCCCCCAGGTGGACAAGAAAGGCAGAGCAGTATCCTGGAGTTTCACGGAGGTGAGTTTAGTGTACAGGGTACATGGAATACATCAAATCGAATTCCTCAGACACATCACACCCGTTACACCCAGACCGTTTTAACATGTTCACCTCCTGCACCAGGAGAACATCATTCGGGAGTTCAACCTAAACGAACTCTACCAGAAGTCCAAGAAACTCAGCAAGAAGGAGGATAAGGCGAACCTGTCCAAGTTCCCACCGCTGCCCGAGGAGGAGGAGCCCGAGCAGAACAAGGAGGAGTCCGAGTCCAAGAAAGATAAATAAAGACGATCTGTTTCACTCAGCTCAGCGGGTAAACGGAAACAAAGTCCAGGTTCAGCTCCTTCTCCTCATTGCTCTCCTCATCTGTGTACTGTTGGTGTGTCATCATGGCAACAGAGGATCCTTGAACGGCTGATGTTATGTCATTGAACCTCAACACCCGCCAACCTCTGTAATTAATGTCATACCCAGAACGATGAGAAGAAGGATTCTGGTACTGTAGTGTTGAGGCTGACATGAAAAGATCATATCTAAATACTATTGAGTGCAGGAACTGGTACCAGGAGCACATTTCAATCACAGGAACAGTAACGAAAGTTGGTGCATAATTTGATACAAAACTAAATAGTGTGGACGTGAGCTTTGTTCCATAAAATAGTTCCTGGTACTAACAGTTCCCCGTACTATGTGATGGGAACGTTTGTATGGTTAAAGCTGTGACGACTGAGAAACTGCTGGTTTAGGGGTCAGCTGAGGACTTGGTAACTGGTGGAGTAGCACCGACAAGATGCTACAATATTTGTTGCTTTGTTGCTTTGTTTTAATGAGACTAATTTATTACAGCTATTTTTGTTTTTTAATGAGACTAATTTATTACAGCTAGTTGTATTTGTTTGTTTTCATGACCAACTGTAACATCTAACAATTTAGTATTATCACCCCCTCCACGTTATAATGAGTTACATCAGCACCTCTTTGTTTGATAAAAGAAGATTCCTTTTAAAGTTGACCTTATGTCCATAAATGTTCTTTAATGTACTTTAATAATTACATTTTCTGTTTCTGAATGTTGAAAAAAAAAAAGTCCAAACTCCTGACGTTCAGTGGATAAGGACTAATATTCATCAACTCTTAAACAGATATTCTTGATTTTTTTTCCCAATCATTGGTAATTCTACTAACACATGAAAACATTCCTTTTTATGATTCCAACTTGGGACACTATTTTTTTTTGTACCTAATTTCTATTTGTTTTTCTTTTGGTGGTCGACACGTCTAACTTTTGTTGCACTGCATTCATTCCAGATCACTTGCCTGTGTATGTGAAACGGAGGAGAGAACCACGTGTTATTGTTAGAGCATTAATTAAAAAGTGAACTTGGGTTTCTGTGCTGCCTCGACTAGCATTTATTCACATCCATACTGTGGTCTGTTTAGATGATCCATTTGACCAGATCCCTGAGCCAGAGTTCTTCAGAGAACTCCAGAAGTAAAGACTACATTCCAGTCTGTTTAAATTATAAAACCAACCAGATTTCAGTCCCTGTTTATTCTCATGAGATGTTAGGACACAGGACATTTGAGACAACACAAATTCAGATGAACTGAAACCAATCACATGGGCCACCCTTGTGACTCTAGCTTTCCTTAGTCAATAATAAAAACTCACTTTTCAATAGCTACATTTCCATAGAAATTTATATAAAACAATTTCAAATTAAATACGTAAAATAAAATAAAAACACGTGGAATTATTTAAAAAAAAAAAGTCCATGAGCCGTTGTCCAGGAAAGCTTGTCTTTTCCTAACAACCCTTATTAACAAAATATGATTTGTTTCTTTACCTTCTATTTGTTCAAATGTAGCGGCCCTCTAGTGGCTAGTTTTAGTAGTGCATGCTGGCATCGGTTACGAACGCCATTTTTTTTTAAAGGAAATCCACATTTAAAAAAGTTCACATCATTCTGTACAAACATGGAATCATATTCACATCAAGGAATAAATCGATAAATAAAGAGTTCGGTTTTCTTTAAATCTTTTTTTTTCTCCTTCCGTCCATCTACAAGTCAGGCAACTTGACGAGCAGCAACACTGGTAAGACGTTCACAGCTTCAGAAGGTTGAGGCTAACTGATGTGATGCAAATGTGCCAGATAACTTCAATCATCACACACACTCGTTACATGTCATTGCTCCACCTGGTGGACAGATCGCACTTTTTGCTGGGGTCTGTCACTTTTGCCAAAATATTTGGAACAAAACTGTGTAGATGATTTTATTTCTAATCCACCTAAACCTGTCTCACCTCTATACAGACAGGTGTTGAAATTAAGTTTGAAAGCAGTCACACAATGTTATGTATATGCCTGGTGTGCAGGCACAGAGGCATCAAAGGCAGTGTGCAACATGATGATGAACACATTTCGTTTTTTGTAGAACTCCACAATCTGGATTGTGTTGCCTTTTTAGACTCGGTGGTGTTGGAGGTTCAGTACTGAGGAAACCGGCTGCAGTAAAGATGATTTTTACTGAAGTTTTCAAACTAACATCCATCTGCACATTTAAGTCCCTAGGTTGTTTGCATACGTATTATTTTTGGAAGTAGAAGGGACAAACCGAAATCTGGGTCGGTACTCACAATTCCACACACTGAGCTACATGTGTATGGAAATACAACCAGACACGTTTCCCTCTCCTGTTCTTCTTACTGATCCAAGAATCAGGCAGCCTGATTCACAATGACCGGGTTTCCCTGTGGACTTCACCAACTTCTGTTTTTTTGTTGTAAAACTCTGTCAAAACACATAAGTATTTAAATATATGTCAAAATACTGAGCACATTTAAAACAGGTGTAGATTTCATTCCATGAGCTTTTTTTCCCCTTTCTCTTTCTGAGTTTCAAACATGATTTGTTTTCACCGACTGTGACGTTTTATTACCGTAAAAAAAAAAAAAGGAGGAGGAACTGTTGCTGTGATGTTGGACGTCTGCAGCAGCGTCAGAAACTTTGTGAAGGTTCAGGTGTGAAAGCCTAACCCAGAGTGGACTAACTCTGCTGGAGCTCCTGACCCTGGCAGTGGTCAATGCCTTACGTTGCTATAGTTACAAGACGAAACCAGACCCGCCACACCCGCTGAGCTACCACACTGACGAAGCCTCACAGAAGGAGCTCAATCATAGTTGGTGTTGTTCCAGACTGTGGCATCTGATAAAAGAAGGTCTCGTGTGAACTCAGAGTTTGGCTTTCACCAGCTCCGGTGGTCCTGTGATGCTCTCGGCAGGAATAGGAGGACAAAACAGTTCAGTACAGTCGACCTGCCGATAAGGATCGAAATGGTTCCACTTTCTTCTCCGTGTTTACTTTTTGTACAAAAAAACCCCGATGAGTTCACCTGAAAGTCAGAAACGGACCAAAGTGCATCCTGCTGATCTTGGAGCTGGCAGCCGGACTCCCGACTCACACAGAAATTTCGTAGGTGGTGCCGCCCACGCCCGTCACCTTCTTCACCCCGATCCCGCCGCCGCCGCCCTGGGGCTTGTGAGCAGGGCTCTGCGTCAATGGCGAGCCGGGGTGGAGCGCCGTCGCAGGTCGTGAGGACAAGCCCGCTGGGTGAGAGGGAGAGGAGGGGGAGGGGGAGGAGCGGACAGGGGAGGAGAAGGGCTGACCGCCGTTGGTCCGACTGAACGGTTTCATCTGGATCACTTCATCCCTGGACACAGAGACAGAACCAAGAAGGTCAGAGTTCAACGGAGAACGCCTGACAGTACAGCACATCAAACAGACAGCACGCATGCGTTCACGTGTGTCAAACAACAACGGAAACATTAAGACTGAAGCTTCTGATGTTTTGCACCATGAACTGCTCTGTTTTTAAGCTGAAGCATCAACAGGCAATGGAAGAAAAGATGGCACTGCATTAGCGCAGATGCATTAGCACAGATGCATCAGCACAGATGCATCAGCGCAGATGCATCAGCGCAGATGCATCAGCACATGAACACAGGTTCTGATGATGCACCAGCGTGTAGTGAAACCACGGACAAACAGGCAGACGACTACGACAACAGTTAGAAAGGTCACAGATGAATAATGAAGACAAGCAAAGGTTAAAGAAGAAGAAGTCACTCACAGGAAATCTGGCAGGAGGAGGAGGAAGAGATAAGGAAAGAGGAGGAGGAGGAGCAGTCACTCAAGTAGTCAGGTTTTTCGGACGTGCGGGCTTTGTTTTGTTTTTTTTTCCAGGGTTAGCAGCAAACCACTAGAGTCCAGACAAAAGCTGAAAGTCATACTCACTTCGGTGCTTGTATTCCTCCTCCTCCTCCTCCTCCCATCCCTCCACTTCCTCCTCCTCCTCCCACCCCTGCTGCGTTCGCTCCAGCTGATGCAGAAGCCTTTCGGACCAGCCGGTATTGCATTTCAGCAGCGGCGGCGCTGGAATATGAGAGCGACTTGCCCAGCGGCGGGGCATGTGGTGAGCGGGGAGCAGTGGTGGTTCCGAGAGGGGTGTCAGTGGAGCGGGTGCGGTACGGGTAGGCATGGTGGGGCGGTGCATGAGGGGCTCCGTAGCGGGGAGGATGGGAGTTGGAGGAGGACGATGAGGAGTGGTGGTGGTGGTGATGGGAGTGGTGGTGATGGTGGGAGTGGCGGTGGTGGTGGTGCAGGGAAGGCTGGACTGAGGAGGAGGAGGAGGAGGAGGAGGAATGGGGAGCAGCAGCCTGATTGGCTGAGAGTTGGCAAGTTCCAGGGTCACTCACCAGGCGCTCTCTCTCCGCAGGTGGAGGAGGGGAGGAGGATGAGCGATGGAGGAAGGGGTGGTGATGGTGGTGGTGATGAGAGGAGCGGTGGTGGTGGTGGTGATGGTGTGGTGACTGGGACTCCTGGGGATGCATCTCCCTGTCACGTTGTTGCGTGGAAGCGAAGGAGGCAGCGCTGTAGTTGACCATCGCAGCCGGTGTGCAGGGTCTCCCGGAGGAAACCTCAGGGACGGCCACGCCCTTGTCATATTCATCACCGGCCAGTAAGCAGTCGTAAGACAAGCTTCCGTTGCGTGATGCATGCTGGGATGGCGGCGTCTGATTGGCTATGCTCTTGAAACTAGTGGAGGTTGCCTCGGAGATGTGGGTGGTGCCCGCCGAGGTGTGCGTGGAGCTAGACGATCGAGACGCTGCCCCCGACAAGACGGCTGGGTCAGAAAAGGAAGGGTAGGAGCGGCCGCCGAGGGAGTAGCCGGGGATGCCCCCTCCTCCTACCTCTCTTCCACTCTCGTGCTTCGCCACTCCGATTCCTCCTCCACCTCCAGCTCTGTCAGAGGAAACATCCCGCCGATCCAGACTGGGCTGGGAGCGGAAGCCAGGCTGCTGGCTGGCCTGGAGGAGGGAGGAGGTGGAGGAGGAAGAGTCTCTGGCACTGCCAACACTCTCTCCTCGACTTAACTAGAGGAGAGAGGAGGAGCGGGGAAAGAACAGGGGAGGACGAAAAAAGAAAAGTGAGAGAAATGAACAAGACACTCAGGAAAGAAGAGCAGAGAAAATAAAAACCTGCCACACTCTCAAATATATTTAGAGGAAAGTTTACCACTAGGTGTCACCCTCTTTACTGTGGCTGATTTTATGTGAAATCTTTGAATTTTTTTTTTTTTTTTAACAGTTGGTTAAATGAGGACACTAACTGTGCCAGATTTTTTGGTGAAATCTTTGAGAATCTTTTTTTTTTGTTTTACACAACATTCACAGTCTCAACATTTCTGAATTTGTGTGCAGAATATCAGACATTTGGTGGAATTTTAAAAGCAACAGGACACGGTGGGTTTTCATCACGTGAACCTCTCGACGACTAACAGAGGAGAATCTACAGGAATCACAGGAATATTTATGACTATGAACAGCAGGGACACTAGAAGGGAGGAAGAAGTCAGAACAACAAACCCAGAAGAAACCAACAGAGGGCGCTGTGGGTGTGGACCAGGAGTGGGTGAAAACCATCTCTGTAACAACTTCAGGTTTAGTGACTTCAATAAGTCGTTTTCACATTTGTCCGAAAGAAACTGAACTAAAACTTTGTCCATCGTCAGGTTTAATGTGAACGACTGGATCTGAACCACATCCACAGCTCCATGGAAGAGACAGGAAACAAGTGAAGAAAAAATTAAAAATAAAAAGCTTTTAGAGCATTGACTTACTGATACTGATCAACAGAAAGCCACTGAGAAATTAAACCAAGATGGCCGACGGGAAATTAAAAAAAAAAAAAAAAAAGAACATTAATGGAGAAAAAAAAAGAGAAATTAAACTGAAATAGAAACAATGAAACAAAAACAATGATGTAATAAATTACAATTACAAAAGTAATACATAAAAACTAATATATATATACATGTATATTTATATATGCATAGCTGCATATATAAATATATAAATATAAATACATATAAATATACATACATATATAAATATATTTATATATATATACATATATAAATATGTATATATATATATATGTATATATATATATATAAATATATAAATGCGTGTGTGTGTGTGTTTTTACCTGGTTGGCATATGCATGTGTGAGCGCTGTGTGATTCTTGCCAGGGCTGTAGGTGGGTCTATATTTGTACATGGTGGGGGTTGGAGGGGCTTTATTCAGCAGACTGCATTCTGCAGTAATGGGAGACAAAAATGGAGCAGAGGAGTGTGTATGGTGAGGAGGAGAAGTTTTATCAGGTTTGGGGTTCAAAATCCAAAATCATGCTGCAATAGTTACAGCTACAGCTTCCTAAAAAACACACACACCTTCAAATCTGATTATATTCACATATATAACGACGGCGGTGACTGAGTCAGAAGATGATAAGAAATATATATTTAAAACAAAACAAACCGTACCCTCTGTGTTTCCTCTGCTGATTCCTGGGAAGCGCAGCTCAGGTTTAGGTGGAGGCGGAGGCTCGGCATCACATGACTGACTCTCCATCATCTCCAAACTGGACCTTGACTGGAAAACAATATATATATATACATATATATTCAGCTGATGTGATCATTTTTGTGAAGCGACTTTGAACTGGACATTTGATACTATGATGACTGTTGTTTTTGGCAGCTGGACTCCTTTGCTCTTCTTACCCGATGCAGCTCTCCCTGAATGCCGTTGTCCAGGATCTTGGCTGCCAGCTGAGCCTCAGTCAGCTGAGGACGAAGGAAAGGAGGCTGCACACACACACTCTGGACACCCTTCCTTCTGCCCAGGTACCTGCACGGAGTACACACGAGTACTTAATAAAAACTGACCAAATCATGACTCATACTGTAAACTGCTGATGTTCCAAATCTTAAAATCTATTTACATTTTTGTCATTTCATGGTGGCTGTAGATATTTACTGACACACCCTTTGGTTTGTTGAAGTTTTGAATGCTCTGTCATTGTGGTTCCTTCAACTTTTACACCATCGCCTTTTTCAACTTCCTTTTTTTATGTTCTCTCACTTGTTTTAGTGCAACCTCCTCGTCTTTTATTTTGATTTCCCATCTTAACGAATCTTTTATTGCCACACGGGGCGACAGGATTTTGTTTTCGTCGTTCCCTCATTGTTCCTGTTTTTTGTTTTTTCTGTCTTTGAATTTAGTGGTGGGGAAATAAAACAATTCAGACATTTAGAAGAAGAAGAAGAATTAGAAGAAGCAGCAGCACCTGGGGGCGAGAGAGGTGCACAGGACATGAGAGACGTTTCTCAAACAGCCGTTGGTAAATGGGTTAACGCCTCCTCTGAACTTTCCTGTGACCTGGAGAGAGGGAGACAGTCAAGCACATGACAAACCTGTTCTTAAAACTTAGGACTTGTGTCTTATTTACATTGACCTTTTTTTAAAAAAAACAAAAAAACTTAAACTTCAGAATTGAACAGACTCCTGGTCCAGCAGACGGTGAGTTTCCTACCTGTTCATTAGTGGTTCTGCCTCTGGCCACAAGCACTATGTGGAAACCAGTGAGGCCCGCAACAGGGATGAAGAACAGGCCTGCCACGCACATTACAGCGAGGCTTAGAGGGAACAGGGTCAAGGAATATGTTCAGAGACCAGATTCAGGACACAGACCCGGTGTTCGACCACGTGTTTACACTTGGAGAAATGAGTCCTGAGCTCTGACCAAATCTGACCAAACTTCATCAGTGCAAATGAAAACAGAAATAGGTGTAAAATCTTCCAAAGAGTGGTGTTTTATCAAGGATACGTGACAATGGCGTGCAGGCGGTCAATGTTCTGCCGATGGTAGAGGATGAAGAGGAGGCCGAAGCCGAACACAGCCATGATGTGAGCCGTCAGCGACAGCAGGAAGAGGAAGAAGTAACGGTAGTTCCTCCTGCCGATGCAGTTGTTCACCCACGGACAGTGATGGTCAAAGTCCTGCACAGGTCCAGGTCCAGAAGAACACAATTATTATTTTTAAAAATTCAAACAGAACATTTTGCAGCATTTTTGGAGTCGTGTGGTTCACACCTCAACGCAGTTGTCACACACAGAGCAGTGGGAGCACCGCGGTGGCCTGTAGAAGCGACAGGTGGAACACCACTTCATCCTGACCTGGATCCCTCTGATCTCCACCGTCTTGTAGAGGGGAGCACGGAAATCATCGTCTTTGTCCTCGTCCTCCTCAGCTGCAGAGACAAACACACACACACAAACTCAACTCCACTGTCAACTTTCAGCACAAACTGCTACAAATCTTCTTCACTTTAATCAATTTAATCTCCTGTTTTAAGGGCCCCAGGCCGGGGGATGGAGGAGGTTTTTACTCCCACCCTCTAACCTGCCAATGATTTTTTTTAATTTTTTTTTATGGTCTGTTTTGTCATTGTACCACAGGGATACGACGAAACTGAGCCTCTGCTTTTAACCCATCACCAAGGTGAAATGTCACCTCGGAAAATATTTTTCCATTTGCAGTTTGAAAGGCCTTTTTAATTAAGTGTCAGTCGGGAAATTTCAGGGACCAAAGTTTTGAGATGAACCTGTGAGAATTTATTTATTTGTTCTCAAAATCTATCATTAGGTCTTATGTACAATTATGAAAAGGTTTCATGTATCAGATTGAGGTTTGAGGTGTGAACAGTTGTGGATTACATCACTTCATTTCCTGAACCACAAACATAATCAACAGTGTGTGAAATAGTCACGTCAAGTTCACTGGTGTCTGTGTGTGTGTGTGTGTGTGTGT